CCAACAAGGTTCTCAACAAGCAGAATTGTTGAGAGAACAGGGTGTTCAACAGTTTGAACTGTTGAGATAGCAGCAGGCTGCTGCTGGTGGGTCGATGCACTCGCGTCGACCCGAGACTTTGAAGATTGACATCTCTAAGTATAGGGGAGTCGAAGAGGACTCCCTCTTGAGATGGTTCGTCGAATTGGATGACGCCATAAGGGCGCGTCGCATCGACGACGGGGATATGCAAGTTGCATTGCCCAGTCAAATCTGGCAGGACGTGCCAAGACTTGGGCACTGGGGCTCAAGTTGCACGACCCATATGCGTTTGGGTCGTTGGAAGTCTTCAAGTCGCGGCTCAGACAAACGTTTGAACCGCCTAGAGCTGAGTTCAGAGCTCGAACCGAACTCTTGAAGCTCAAGCAGGGTAAGCGTGATGTGCACGCTTACGCGCAACATATACGACATCTCACGAGTTGTATAAGTTCCAATCCGGTGGATGAACACACGTTGGTCTCGGTGTTCATGCAGGGTCTTGCGGATGGTCCCGTCAAGACTCACCTGTTCCGGCTTGAACTAGATTCACTAGAACAAGCCATTTCCATTGCGGAGCAGGAAGACTTCAGTCTGAGACAGGCTCGCGCCAGCTCGACATCATATCGTCAACCGAGACGATATGACAACGAAGGTCCAGAGCCGATGGAACTCTGCTATGTAGAGAGCGAGAAGGCTCGCTCTACAGGCTACAAGAAATTGCAGAGATGCAACGGATGTCAAAAGACAGGACACTACGCTTACGAGTGTAGTGCCCCTCGTCCAGTGTCTCGCGACACTGAGCGTAGTGACCGTCCACCCATGAGAAAGGGACAGGGACGCGGGTCCGCTGTTGGTGCAAAGACGCAACAACGGGATGGACCGTCAAAAAACGGACAGGATCAGTAGGTGCGGAGCACCCTACTGGTCCAGCAACGTCAAGAGAATTTGTGGGCCTCTTGATGAAGGTTGCTCCCAACACACAAACGTGCGTTGCTGCTCTAGGTAATGAGGACTCACTCATTACCTTGAAACTCGAAGTGACAAATAAGTTGTCCCTTCTAGCTCTAGTAGATTGTGGGGCGTCCAACAATTTTGTGTGACGCCAATCGCTAGAAGATGGTCACTTTAAGTTCAGTGAATGTGACACACCTCCTATGAGGATGACGGTACGTCTTGCGACAGGCGCATCCGTAACCGTCATGAAGCGTATAGTGAAGATTCACTATACGCTAGAAGATACCCAGTATGACGATGACTTTATCGTATTGGATTTGGATGACAAATTTGATGTCATCCTGGAAATACCGTGGCTCAGAAGATACGAACCACGAGTTAACTGGCAACATCGAACAGTAACGATGCCTGCCGCTTGTTCATCAGATGGCCATCTGATGAAGGTTTTGGAGCGTCCACAAGCGTGTGGATGTACTACGAGTGAGTGCGATGGCCTTACTTGTGGTACGGTCGTTAGTACGACTGCACGAAACCTTAGTGTAACAAACGGTTACACTTCGGAGCAAAGTTCCGGCGGCTGTGAGGAAACACAGGCTGCGCCGAAGGTCCACCACTCGAATAAGTCGAGTGGACCGGGACAAAGATGTATCCCTAGCGGGGAACATCTAGAAGAGAAACAATCGATCGCTCAGGTTAAGCGAAACGATAATCCTAGATCGACTGGAGAGTCTTTCGTAGAGGATCTCGCTGTGGTTGCGCAACCCCAGCTAGAGGAAGTAAAGGGAATAAGTCCCGATAATACAAATACGGCGGAAATAAGTTCCCCGAAACCCGAGGGAATAAGTCCCCGGGAAGCCGAAGGAATAAGTCCTTCGAAGCCTGAGGGAATAAATCCCCAGGAAATGACAGAGACTTTGAATGTCATAGTCAATAACGGATCAAGTGTAGGCGCTTATACACTTGATCTGATTGCGCCTCCGAAGTTGACTTTGGAGATCACTCAGTTGCCAACGCTCGAACATAAAAGGTTCTTGCGTGATCTGCGTAGTGGCAAAGTCAAGCAGATCTGCGTACTCGTCGCTGACGACGAGTGTGTAATCGACATAAGGTCAGCAACAATGTTTACTGAAAACGAGAGAGTTCTCAGTAGTTCATCTATGGACGAGAGTGTCCTGGATGAAAAGACACGAATTGAGCGATATGACTCCAAATCGTGGGAATCGCTCAAGACAAATCCTCTCTATGAAGATTTGGTTGAATTCAAGGATGTATTCCCTGAAACTGTTCCGTGCGAATTACCGAAGGATAAGGTACTCGACACGAGGTCGAGCTTAAACCAGGCTCGAAGTACTGTGTCATGAAGCAGTGGCCACTGCCTCGTGAACAAGTACTTGCGATCGACAAGTTCTTTGCCGATCGTTTAGCTGCGGGCCATGTGAGGGAATCAACTTCCCCACATAGCTCTCCGACCTTCTGTGTGCGAAAAGCAACAGGAGGGTGGCGGATAGTGCATGCATTTAACAAGTTGAATGCTGCAACGGTACCGGCACAAACGCCGATACCGAGGAAGGACGTAATCATAGATGGTATGTCAAAGAGTACCATCTTTTCGTCCATGGATTTGATGGATGGCTTCTATCAAATCCTTATGCGAGAACGGGATATACCCTATACCGCAGTGAGCACGCCTAGCGGCATGCTCTGGGAATGGCTAGTAATGCCACAAGGGCTTAGTAATGACCCTGCCACGTTCAACAGATGTGTATCACATCTGTTGAGACTGGTACGAGAATTCGCACCGAGTTATTTCGATGACGTATTCATCCATAGTCGGGCTATGGATGGAAAGTCGGATGTTGAGGTTCATAGGTACCACGTCCGACAGGTTCTTACAATCATGCGAAAGCATCAATTGTATGCAAACCTCAAGAAGTGTATATTTGCAGCAAGCGAAATACCACTTCTTGGGTGCATCGTTGGTAAGAACGGTGTACGTCCTGATCCCGAAAAGATCAAGGCGATCACCGACTGGCCTGTGCCAGTCGACGTCAAAGGTCTTCGAAAATTCCTTGGGCTAGCGGCGTATTTGCATAAGTATTCACGCAATTACGCCGAGATGACTGTGCACCTCTCTCGTTTGTTGAAAAAGAACGAGAGGTGGTTATGGAACGCTGAATGTCAGCGCTCTTTTGAGGGTATCAAGAAGGGCTTGATACAATCCCCAGTCCTAGCGATCGCCTATCAGGACAGGACATTTCATGTGGTCTGTGATGCCAGCGATTTCGCAATCGGCTGTGCATTAATGCAGTACGACCTTGAAGGCGTTGAACGCGTCGTCTGCTATCAGTCGCGTCAGCTGCAACCAGCTGAGCGGAACTACCCAGTGCATGACAAGGAACTCCTTGCCATGAAGTATGCACTCGCGAAGTTCAGAGTCTATCTATTAGGAGATAGACCCTTCATTGTTTACACTGACCATGCGTCATTACGCACGGCAGTGAACAGCCCGCACCTTTCACAACGAATGGCGCGGTGATTGTCATTCTTTGCAGAATACAACTTTACGGTAGAGTACAAGCCAGGACGACTTAATGTCGTCGCTGATGCACTCTCACATCGGCCCGACTGTGAACCATTCGTGGAACCCAACAGTGAGACAGCCACTGTTGCGGTTATGACGTCCTCAGTCCCATCTATAACGTTGCATGATGATGTGAGGCGGGCGTATGCCCAAGATGGTGAGATTGTGAAGCTGTTGACACATCTCTCACAGCCATCTCGAGAATCGTTGAAACGATTGTCGTCTGCGTATCGATCTGCATCAGATCGATACACTACTCACAACGGTTTTACTGTATTATACAGCCGTTTCTGGTCCCACGTGTTGTCATTCCAGATGATACTGATCTGCGTTTGCGGATCATGTTCGAGTATCACGATGCTCCTATAGGAGGACATCGTGGCCGAGAGAAAACATATCTTACGGTGAGTCGAGACTTTTACTGGCCCCGCCAGTATCAGTTTGTGCGCAAGTACATTCGCGCATGCGAAGTCTGTCAACGAGTGAAGTCAAGTCCTTCACTGCGTGCACCTTTACAGCCTCTACCGGTTCCGGCTGAGTGCTGGGAATTCATCTCAATGGATTTCGTCTTCGGGTTACCCAAAGACGCACGCGGGAATACGGGTATTCTCGTTTTTGTTGACAGATTCAGCAAAATGGTACACCTTGTGGCTGTACCAGAGTCAATCACAGCAAGTGGCTGTGCTTGTGTCTTTATTGACACCATCTTCCGACTTCATGGGTTGCCCCGTGAACTCGTATCAGACAGAGATCCACGATTCACTGCTGATTTTTGGCGTTCCGTGTTCAAATCACTCGGAACGCGCTTGAAGATGTTGACATCTGATCATCCAGAGTTAGATGGTCAGACGGAACGTGCCAATCGTGTCCTCGAAGAGATACTTCGAGGATACGTACACTCCTTTAAGAGTTGGAGTGAGTTCTTGCCAATAGTAGAGTTTGCCATCAACAACTCGGTGCATGCGTCCACGACACATACACCGTTTTTTGTGAATGGCTTGCGCCATCCGCGTGTACCCACCTTACTAGAGTTTGACTCTGGTTTAAGGGGGGAGGGACTCGCGCGAGCAAAAATCGATTTGGTTCACGCTCATCACGCTCTGACGAAGAAGTCATTGCGTTTGATGCCGATATCGATAACATCGATATCGAAGAAGATGATGCCAGTGAGAGTGCGGAAGCCCTCACTGAAGAAAAGATTGTTGTCGCTGCAGTGCACTCACAGCGCACTGAAGCTAACGAGTCATCAGATGAGTTCATACTGGCTCGTGAAACGGTAGTCCGTTTTGTGCAAGATTCCATCGCCGAAGCGGTGGATAAGCAAAAGCAAAACGCAGACAAGAATGGAAGGGCAAACACTCTTTTATTCAATAAGGGTGACTTAGTCCTACTGTCTACGGTTAATCTACCAAAGCATGTAGTGACTAACTTGGGTAGCAGTAAACTACTACCCAAGTACATCGGCCCATTTCGTGTATTGCACCACCTAGGCAATGCATACACGATCGAGTTACCACGTAAGATGCGAACGCATCCCACGTTTTACGTTGGTCGGCTTAAGCCGTACCATCAGTACGCTGCTTCTTCCGATGAAGAACGCCTTGCGCTCAAGCATCTCGCAGAGAGCCTTGTGCTCCCGATAGTGGGCATCGACAAGGGTCTGAAGAGCAGCTATCTCATCCCGAGACCGATCAACAATCCCACGAGCTACCCTTAGCTCGTCACGAAGAGATGTCAGAGCTCTCTCGTTCTCAAGCTGAGCAAAGGCAAACTCAGCTCGATGCTTCGAGGCAGTGTCCACCATCTGGAGACGTCTGTCCCGCTCATGTTCGAGATCACCGCGTAACCCTTGCGTTACGCGATCAAAGAAGCTCTCGGGAACACACGCTTCCCCACGATTGTGTGGATAGCGTCTTCCCTCCTCCTCCACCTCCATTAGAGGACTCTCGTGGTGGCCAGCGCTATCTGGTTGAGCAGCTGTTGAACCACCGTGACGTGAACGGACTTCGGACGAGTTATCTCGTCCGGTGGCGCGGCTATCCCCCGTCCTGGGATACTTGGGAGCCCCGCTCCCAACTGATGATCGACCTACTGGGTCTGGTTGAGCAGTACGACGCGGCACATCCTGTGCCGCAGAAGGACCGCCGGAGAAAGTCTTCCCGGCACGGTCGTAAAGGGATTTCAGGTTGTCAATCCCTTCGTACATATCACTAGAGATACGTACGCGCCACCACGGGCTAGTAAGGAGGTAAGCCTCCTTAGGTGCTCGTGCAGAGTTGTTCACACAACATGGGCACGAGTCTCCCCAAGAGAGACAGGGTAATCCTTTCTATCTTGACAGACGATGCAGCTTGTAGCGTGCACCTGTCGGGGTTCGCTTTTCAAACTTATCACGAGCTTTGATAAGTTTGTCGTTCCAAGCGTCACGACCTACATCCTCGAGGTTATGGATGTAGGCGTTCCACGCTTGAAGCAGTGAGGGACCATCACGTTTGTGATTCCCACTGTACCATCGATGTTTGAAGAAAGCATCGATGAAGAATTCATGTTCAGCGCGATAGTTTTTCGCGCTGGGGTCAAGGTGATGGATCCTTGACGAATCGAACAACCGTGTTCGATAACGATCACTCGTCGTCGCCGACAAGTGATCCATGACGGATTTAGGAGGCATCCATGCCATCTTTTCAGGAGCGAGACGCAACACATTGCGGTCCCGCTCTTCCTGCGACGTGCCGACAGAAGTACTGGCACCTCGCTGTGAAGTGGTGTCAATAGGAGAACCGACACCACTGTTAGCGCCCGAGTCTCGCGACCTCGAGCGCCTTCGCTTCGGCGATGGTTCATCTGATTCATCAGATGAAACAAAGATGCTACGAAGCATAGCATCATCCATGCCACGCTTGGCAGGCGGCTTGGATTCAATCGCCGTCGATACGGATCCGTCTTCCGTATCAGGAGAGTATGAGACACCGAGCTCATACTCTGTGAAGACATGAGTGTCTTCATGACTAGCGCCTGCATCACCAAGTGACACAGGCTGAGTCGCTTCAGCAACCGATGAGACATCAGTTGCTGTGGTTTCTGCTTCGGCGTCCGCACAGAGACGTGCGGAAGCGCTCTCGGCGGCCTTGCTCGCGCATCGCATGGGCTTGTTAACCATGCGATGATTTGTTGGAAAGTGGACTCGGACCAACAAGTGCAAACCCTGTCCCAAATGATTTGGGACGAGTATCCATTTAGACAATCAGTCACTAAAGTGACTGATGGTTAAGGGGGGGTGATGTAACGGGGTGAATCGTTACATAACAATTTATAAGAAATTGTTAATAGTATATAACTATAAGAGTTACATTCTCAGAATATTGTCATAAGGACAAATATTCTGTAGCACTTGCGAGTAGTTCCTAATTGGTTGATAAAGGCCATTATATCAACCAACGAAGACGCGCCACGACAGACGCACGCAATGAGTGGTGAGCAGATAGTTAATTTACACATTTGTATTTAGACATAGTTAGATGAAGATAAATAGTGATTTATTGCAGACATTAACTATTATAAATACAGTTCTACTTCTTACTTTAACCAAGTACTCGCTTCTTCTTACCGTCTTCCTCTGCACGTACGAGTGTACGTGAAGTCACGAGGCACCGCCTTATTCTGTCATAAGAATAAGTAGCTTGTACTGTCATCAGTACAAGCTTCAGGGTGCCCCGTTACACTTTTAAGTTGCGTATAATTCCAGCGTCGCAGAACTGAATCTTGCTGATCGCATTAAGCGGCAAATACGACAGCGTTGTATTATGCAGAGTACTTAGGCGTCTTTTATATCGCACTCCTTGATTTGCGCGAAGTGGTTGTCTAGGAATAAATGACCTTGCAACTGGCAACATGTTTGGCGAAGGCTTCCAGCCATTGTTTAAACACGTCGCGAGTCATCCACGCGTTTTCGTTGACGTGATAAGACCTGATCTGGCTTCTGCGGTCCAAATTTACACAAAAGCATGGGTTTAAGAACCATGCGATGACCCACAGCAGAAACTTGTCGGATCCGTCTGCGTTGCTGCAGATTGTAACGGGGTACCAGAGCAACACACTGGATAAACAGACGGAGCTATGATCACCGACAGCAGAGTGAGTGGTGCATCGCTACCTCTGTAAACCTTAGCAGAGGAAATTGAAGCAACTAGAAAACTGACTAGTCGCTGGTCAAAGTAAAACTGTATTAAATGTAAACAAGCCCTAATCATTAGCCTATGTTTTAGTCCTAACTTAATCATGTCGATCAACAAGAATGTATGCCTTAGTCTTTCTCACCACTCATTGCGCGCGTCCATCGTTAATTGGAACGCTAGCGCTAGCTGTATGATGACCCATATCAGCCATCGCTGAGTGTTTCTGAATATCACCCCTTTCGGTAATGTTCACGAGCATTATCAACTTTTGTAATAATTTTCTAATTAACAAGTATCAAGGGTTAATTTCTTGTAAAAGACTCACCCCGTTACACTTGCGAAGGATATCTGTGAGGGCATGGCCACTGGCGGCCATGCTGGAGGTGAACACGTGTAGCACTTTCGCTTCAACCCTATCTCCCCTAACCCTACTATTTAGTTATTCCCTCATTTAATCAAAATGTGGTGGTCCCAGCCATATCAATTAAGGAAAACTCTACTGTAGGAGTGGAAAATGAAAATACAGCAGAACTTAAATCAGTCCTATTGACCAATGACTTGTATCGAAGGGCGAGCTCCAGAGCTTGCTCCCCTACCTTGCGTTTAGTCTTATAATTGGGCGCGTTTGATTTTGCGTGAGCAATATCAAACGTAGAGCAAAAGTAGGTATTAAGTAGCGACAAAGCTAGCGTGATGCAAAATTATTCTCCGGAGAATGACCAAACTATTACTTGCGCCAATGCCAGCGACCTGAAAAAGATCACGCAATTGTAACGAGACAAATATCGACAATTGAAGCAGAAGAAAAAGAGGGACAAATAGTACAAAACAATTGCAGCCATGACCGGAAGCTGGTGACCCAATTTGTCCGTGGACTTCAAACCACCTTCACTTTTCTCTAAATTGATCGTACATTACGAATCACCGAGCGTACACTTTTGATTGCAAGCTCCGTCTAAGTACGTCGTCTCACAGCCACCCACTCCTACGTACCATGACGAGCTCCGCTACCGCGTCCACGGCCATTGAGAACCCGGATGCACTTGCACGTCTCAATGCAGCCATCATGGGTGAGCGGAACCCTCGCGGTATCCCGTCAGCCGTCTTCGTGGTGCGTCTGGGGATCGCTTGTCGATTTTAATTAGCCGAAAAAAGAGTCATTAACGATGTGATCATCTATTTCTTCTCCACATAAATGTCATGTAGGACTCTGTGGACTCGTTCATGAGCACGTGTGGCGCCGAGACAATTGATCCGCTCGTAGGTGCATTGCAGCAGATGTATAGCAAGTACAAGTTCATGGAAACGAGTCTGCAAAAGAGTCGCGAGACGTTCAAGCGCAAGATTCCAGACACCGAAAAAGATTTGGCAATTGTGCGACACGTAATCGCCAAGCGCGATGCAGGCGAGACGCTCAAAACGCACTTTAATATGGCCGACAATGTCTACGCCAAGGCCGAGGTGGACTGTTCTGTGGGGAAGGTCTGTATCTGGCTCGGTGCTCACGTTATGGTCGAGTACGAGTACGAAGAAGCTCTGAAGTTGCTGGAAAAGAATGTGGCCTCTGCAACAGAGAAGCTGGTGAGGACAGAGCTATTATCCAGAGGATGTGTACTAAGTCGTGTGCGTTGTGCTGACGGTGAGTGTGTTTGATTCGCATGATGGCGTTGGATCTGTTTAGGTCCAGATTGAAGAGGACTTGTCTTTTTTGCGCGACTCGATCATTACGACCGAAGTGAACATTGCGCGCATATTTAATTACGACGTGCGGCGTCGTCGCCTGGAACAGGATAGCAAGCTGGCGGTTGGAGTCAATGAGGAGAAGTGAGCAATGTGACCGTAGAGATTCAGACAACTTTTTGTGACGCCTTGAATTGCAGTAGTCGTCTAGCGGTCGCTGATTGTAAAACCGTACCACGTTGTTTATTGATACTCGAAGTCGTGTTTATTGTCGAAATGCTCGTACAAAAGTCGCTGTTAAAAAAAAATGCGTCGTTTCGCAAGTCGAAAGATGCAGTAATCGACATGGCTACGGAGCGACAATGGGCAGCACTACTTATGAGTCTCAACTACTTACGAACATCATTGCGATCGTAGTGCAGACACCGGCGTTGGTGACAGTTCCAAGATATTGGTGGCAACTATTGATGCTGCATTAGGATCATTGTCAGGACCATTGTCATGGCAGCTCACACCGATCATTTGGTTGGCAATGACTGGGGCTTAAAATCAGTTGTTTGTTTTCTAGGCTAATGGTGTTGTCAAAGAGCAGTCAAAGTACCACTGAGAGCGATGAAAACCAAACGCCAAATTTTATTTGTGCATATGCATTTAGCTTACTGAATGACGCCGTTCCGATGTTACATGGATTTCAGTAGTATATCCCAGCGTAATCAAGCCATATTGAGTCGCTTTTATTGCGGTGTGGGAGAATAATAGATAATCGTTAGCAGCATAGCATAAGGTTTTGTCGAAGACGCATTCAATTCTGCTGCTCGAGGTGTTAGAGAACGGCATTGGTACAGCTGCTGCAAGGCTCAAAGAGGTTTGGTTTCAAGTTGTCAAGCACTCGTGTCAAACGTATTCTATGTCTGTTGGTACATAACTACAGAGTGCAATCGATTTGCAGCGCTGGTGAAATCCGTCCACGGGTATGATGTCTATGACGCTGCAGACGTGTCGCGAACAGCTCTCGACAAGCGGCAAATGCGGATCTGGTCTCGATTTGAGTATGAAAAAATATGCTTCTCCATCGTCTTCTGTACAGACATTGTCGTATCAACGTAGTCAATGTCGGCCTTAGCAAGCTGGTCGAGAAACACTTGAAACGTTTTCTCGTTGCGAATGGTCGCTGCAAAAATCGCCACACGCTTTGACTGCCGATTTCTTCCGCAACCTTCGTCCATGCCAAAGAATGACTGAAGAGCATGCATCATGGCTGGAAAAGCTGCAACGTCATAGACACAGTCTCCAGCAAGCAAGATGTCCGGGTGCTCCCCATCATCACAATCCATTGGCTGCCAAGTTCCCCAGTCCAGCGCCTGTACCTCCACCGGGCAAATAAATTTGTTCGAGTTGATCTCGACGTTGTACCGCAAGTTTTGCAACACATTTGGTGCATAGTCCGTGAGCACAACACGACTCAAGCGACAAACACAAGCCAAGACCATGCCCGTGAAGCCAACTCCAGCACCAAGCTCCAGCACCCTTTTGTTCCGAAAGTCGTGCTCGTGTGCAATGACGTACTCAGCAAGCAGCCAGCCAGCTTCCCAGAGTTTCAGTCCCACATCATTTAACAGGGAAGCCACTCGACACGTCACGACGACCGATGTATTGGGAGTAGTTGGCACTGTATACGATACGTAGTGCATGGCTTCAGCATGGAGCGAGTCATCCAGTAATTTCTTGTTCAGGACAAACTCCATCAGTGCCTCAACGAGTCCGTCGTCGATGTCCAATTTCAAAGCCTCGATCTCTGCACATAAAAACGCAATAGTCAATTGTCTGATTGCGTGGTTTGGAGACCGGTGAAGGTCATGCAATAAATGTAGCCATGACAATGTCTCTGCTGTTGCATCATAGTGAGACTCTACTTCCGAGCAGAAGTTAACCGTCCGTACCACTCACATAACTCTTGACAAACGGTAGGTATACGTCCTCTGTGGTGGAAAGTCGTTGCAAATTAGGTCGTTCACCACGTATTGCACCACTTGAGCCTGCAGTTGTATCCATACCCCTCATGTGTTATATCAGCTTGTCAAGCGACGTCAAACAATGTACTCATCGTATTTTACGACCTGAAACGCGAGCGACGCCCATTGCTGCTCGTGTGCGTATTGCATCTTGATTCTCTGAACTAGACATCGCACCGGCTCCATTGCGCGATACGCCTCTCGCACGCCTTGCAGCTCCATACGGTTACACTAAAACGACGGAAGTTTTTCTACTTCTGATTCTAAGCTATTGTACACGTTTTGCATATTTGATCGTACAATTTTATACTACGATTCATAAGTACAATATTGCAATCAGATCACGCTCGGAACGAATGGCTCTCTCGGACCGTTCAGTATCAAATTTGCCCCTTTGAGCAAACTGCTTCTACTAAGATGCCGACCGATATGACCAAGTTCCAGCTTGTGCAGACCGCCAAGTTCTCGGTGCTGCACCCGGTGAAAGGCGCGAAGCCCATGAAGGCCATTGCCGGTGCCAAGAAGGCGGCCCCAGTCAAGAAAGAATCGCCCAAGAAGGTCGAGCAGAAGAAGGAGGAAGACGATGATGATGACGACCTGTTTGGCGATGACGACGACGAGGACGACGAGGCTACCAAAGCACTGGCTGCCAAGCGCGCCGAGGCGGCCAAGTCTGCTAAGAAGGAGAAAAAGAAACCCGTGGAGCGCTCGCAGGTGGTGATCGAGGTCAAGCCGTGGGAGGCCGAGACGGACCTTGAAGAATTGGCTGCCAAGATCAAGGCGCTGCCTATTGACGGTCTCACTTGGGGCGAAGGCCACAAGCTTGTGCCCGTGGCGTTTGGCATCAAGAAGCTGTTGGTGCAGTGTGTCATTATTGACGAGTTGGTGCTCATGGACGACATTACGGACGCCATCGAGAGCTTTGAGGATTATGTCCAGTCGGTCGACGTGGCATCCATGAACAAGCTCTAGTTGTATTGCAATAATCGAAACATGCAGCGTTTGTGGCTTGTGCGTGCTGCTTTTTGTTGCCATTATTTTAGGATAGGACAGTTTGCGTCGGACAGATCCTGTCGTGCCCGCTACGACGGAATAAAAGACCGAACCTCTGAGTCGTCGTTTTATCCAGTCGTCTGAGTCCGATACTTTCTTCTGATACCAAGAATTACCTTTTTCTCGGGTGGAGCTGCTGGAGCATCGGGAACGGAATCAGTTCTCCGTCCACCCATACCGCACCTCCATTGTCGTCGCCATCAATCCGTACATACATACATACACCCACAGATCGGACAAGTGAAGTGCTATGCTGGAATGCCAAACATGCGGCGCCGTGGGCGACTCGTTCTTTAGTGAAAACTACTTTGGTGAGATGGTGTGTGAATTGTGTGGCACGCAGAGTTCCCTTCAAGCACGAAATGAGACGCTCGATGTTGAAGACATGGGACTGGATCTCCCGACGGCGCTCAAGACGCTAAAGCGGCGCGTGAACCGCAAACCGAAGCGCCCAGCGGAGGACAAGAACAAGACATCAATGAAGCGCATCAAGAAGGAAGGAAATAACAGCGAGGTGGACAGTGAAAGCGAAGGATTTCATGAAGACAGTGAGAAATTCAAGCAAAAGACGGTACCTGCATTACCGCCGCTATTGGATTGCGTCATTGCGACGCAAATGGTTTTAGATGCAATGGCCCGGTCACTTGTGACTCGTATTGGAGCTGATACGTTTGCAGCTGAGGAATACCCAAAAGCAGTGAAAACGCTGTGGTTTGCGTTTCTTCAGACGTGGGGCGTGAAAGGTACCAAGCCATTGCTGCGGTGCTACAATGAGTTTTTTCTGCACTTTACGCACGATGAAAAAGCGAAATTGGAACCGGCTGTGACGTTGGATTTACTCGAGCAGTGGGATGCCGAGTGGGATGAACAACGGGGAAATGAAGATGACGTGTTGAAGCTGCAGGAGGAGAAGGAGCAGGAGGAGCAGGAACAAGAAAAGCAGAGGCAGAAGGAGCAACAGGAGAAGGAGCAGGAGCAGGAGCAGGAAGAGGAGAGTGAGCATCAGCAGAAGAAGAAAGAAGGACATGCTGCTGGAAACTACGACGAGGCGAAGCATGCTACGAGCAGAGCTGGAAAAACACGTAGGGAAAAACAAGTCAAGACCAATGTTCGACTTCCGGGCACGCTGAATAAATTTTCAATCGTGGATATGATAGGTATCTTGATGCTTGCTTCGCGAGTACTAAATTTGGGACTTCTGCCTAGTGATTTTGCCGACTGGGTCGCGACTGGAGTCATCCCGTACCATAACTCGCTGGCCACCACTTGTGCTGACGCACCAGATGTGAGGGACTCGGTCAAGTGTGTATCTCACTTTTTCCAGTCCTTGATGATTCGTCACCGAGCGAATACGGTTCAGATTGCCTACTCGGCCAACCATTTGATGTACCACATGGGGCTGCGTTTGCCTCCACTAAATGTGCCACTTGCCGCGCACCGGATTTGCGCCATGATGGGGTTTCCGGCAGAAGTCTTTCGTAACTTCCAGTGGATCTCGGGTTTCATGAACGTTACGGGACCCTTGCCAGAACTGCCACTGCTGCTTCAAGCGGAGGCCGATGGCTATCCCAGGTTAAACCTCACGCCTTCAAAAGAAGATGGAGCAAGAGTAGACGGAATACTCGTATCCGAGGTTGGTATCGTAGCACACTTGGTAGTAGCGATCAAAATGTGTGCGAACTGGCACGAGTGGATCTACGAGCGACATCGTGACGAAGACGACGGAGAAGAGACCAAGAGTGATGATAGACGAGGTGAGTTTAAGGCACCACCCGCTGCTGCAGTGCACAATCCGCATCTCCTTCCTCGCCGAGATCTGGATGCCTATGTTCGGTTTGCCAGGGAAGTTTTCGTGGATCCTGAACACTCTGGTATTCCTGAACGCCTCGAGGAGAACGTGCGAAAGCTTGAGCGCGTCGACGCAGCAGGCGAGTTGGCGTCCTCAACTTGCGATCCCAGAGAGAAATTAAAGCAGAACAGTCTTTATGCATACCCAGCTATTCATGTGGATGGAATTCTAGCTGAAACGGACGAGTCTATCGAGGAGCGAATGAAGCGTCTACGATCTGGAGAAACGAGCAGCGAACCAGTGCAGAGTGCTGACGGAGAAAAGCAGTGCGACGCATTCTTCTACCCGCTCTTTTTTCTTTCCAGCTATCGCAGTGGACTGCATTCAGCGACAGAGCATGTGTTGGAGATCTTGTGTCGGAAGATTGACGCCCCCATTGCGTCAGTGTTGCCCCGGCTTGCAGAGCTTGATAAACGAATGCAAAGTTTGGTTTACCACTTTGAGCGGACAGAATTTCACGTCAATCTGCTCCGACAAGGACGAACAAAGTGGAAGGCTGCTCAGAAAGCTGCTGAGAATCGTAATGTCGTCGAGGCTTGAGCTGTGGATCGGGTAACAGACAAGCAAGTCGAGTGAAGCAAGTTGATCTCGCTAAAGCATCACGAGTTGCAATCTGCAAGAGCATACTCTACCATCCAGCAGCTGGATCGACACCTGAGCTTCAGTTGCAACAAGTTATGGTGAAATGGTGACGGGCAAACGAGGAGGTATAGGAACGTTTCGACCGCTGCATCCTTGCTTGTTATTCCATACGAGATGCAGACGTCACGGGTGAGCTAAAAGGTGGCGCGTGTATGCATCCTGCCAGTGACTAATGCGGTTACTAACTTTAGAAGTCACAGAGAGGTCTTGTGGAAAGAGTCGGCGTGACCCGAGAGATGCATCCTGTCGACATTTTTTGAGTTCAAGCATCGAATATGTCATTAGTTCAGCTATCGGCATAGGTCGTGCTTGACGTTCGCAATGCGTGTTGTTCCGATACATTGAAAGGGCTTTAATGATCGTGACAATATCATCGCGCATCACCACGGGCTTCCAGGACCTGTCAAACCAGACAGGCTGTTGGAATTTGTCAACTCCAGACAAGATGTTAATACCCGTCAACCTTATCTTCTAGCAGCCTTGTGAAGAGCTAGGGCAAGCTGGTCATCACTTGAGCAAAGGTAGACATAATTCACAAAGCTGCTGTCTTTCCAAGCTTCACGACGTGATTTTTACAAGAATGTGGGCTTTCCATCCACGAGAGTACAAGCAAGGAACGAGCATAGCTCAACAAACTCTAGCGGGTGCATTGAGGTGCCGGGATCGACAACGACATGTTATTGATACCAAAATGAGACGCGACGCTGGGCTAAGAGAGAGTCAACGAACCCGGAATGACAGAGTCTCAGTGCACTATTTATCCTGGATTCGTTCATCAGCGTCCATCTAACTTGCACAAATCGTCTTCACATCCACTCTCACAACGAGAAACTACCATATCCCATGTCCACAATTACTTGCCATTCTTGAGGTACGGTAGGAGGTAACTAAAGTCCTTCTTGCCGTAGCCCCCTGCAACCATCATGTTAAAGAGCTGGTGAACCTGGCAAGTCAGTGGAATGGACACTTCCGCCTGCTTGGCACAGTCCATTGCAAGCCCCAGATCTTTCCGGTGCAACGTGACTGCAAACCCGCCTTCGTAGTCATTCGACGACGGCACGTTTTCCATCAAGCCCGGATACGGATGATTCCTGTAGTTAAACAGCGCAATAACACAACACAAGACGACACGACAACCCGGGCACGGTACTTCAGACCCAACACAACACAATCGAGCACCAGCTGGTTCCTCCTTTTAGCCACGTACACAAGAGTCGACCAGCACGACGCCGTGGACGTGTCCATGATATTCTTGAGAACCGCAGCGTCAATCCCAAGCGTCGTGCCGAGGTTCATAGCCTCAGCCACCGACGCCATCTGAATCGCGAGCGCCAAGTTGTTGCATAACTTGGCAATTTGGCCCGTAGCTGCTCAAAACACAGCAGTCACACATACACAATCCAACGCGACACTCAGCCTCCCTCTCTCTCTCACTCCCTCCCCTTTCTCTCTCTATGACTTACAGCTGCCCCCGCAATGCACGAGGTTCTTCCCCATGGCCTTCAACAGTGGCTTGACTTGCTCAAACTCCTGCAGCGTGCCGCCCACCATGAACGTCAACGTCCCGTTCTGTGCGCCTGCAACGCCGCCAGACACGGGCGCGTCGACGAACATCGCCCCCCGCTCGTGCAGCTCCTTGCTCAGCTTCTTGGTAAAGATCGGGTCGATCGTGCTCGAGTCCAGGAGCACGTGGTCCTTGTGCAGCGCTTCGTGCACGCCGTCGACGCCCAAGTAGACGCGCTCGACTGTGGCCGTAGAAGGCAGCATCGTGACGATGGTGTCGCACTGCTCGGCCACTTCTCGAGCAGTAGCAGCAGCGACAGCGCCTTGATCAACCTGTCGCTGGACGTTGGCGGCCTCGGGGTCGCACACGACGAGGCGGTGGCCGTGTTTGCGGAGGTTGTCGGCCATGCGGCCGCCCATTTGGCCCAGGCCAATGACGCCGACGACTTGTTGAGTTGCAGAGGAAGGAGACGCAGTGGTGGTTAGGGCTCGAGACCAGTAGGGCAGGCTGTGAGATGGACGGAGGACGGAGGAGAATGGACGCCACATGGTGACGTGAGTGTGATGGGTACAGAGGAAATCTACAAATGACGTCGTGGAGCACCACGAAGTTGCTTTTTTGGGCGCCTCAACTTCAACTGTTGATGATGCGAGAGGGGGGAGGCAAGGAACGTGTTAAGTACGACTGTCCGCACTGCATCACGCACGTGGTGCATCAATCACGTCGGTCACTTGCAGATGTATGAAGGGACGCTTCGGAAAGGCTTTTCTTGGTCAATTTCGTGTCTTGTTTTTGTAATTAGATAGTGGGAACAAAGCACGCAATCGTCGGTGCAATCGAGCTGTAGAGTGGAATAGCTTTTTGGTGAAATAGGCTGTTCCAAAGTAGTGACGATAATCAGTGCGTCGTCTGGATCAGGGTAGGGTGACTCTTGATTATGGCTCTTGACAATTTAAGCCTACTGACATGCCGGCAGTAGGCTTTAGATTGTCAAGAGCCATAGCTGCGGCAAACGCTGATAATAGTCCTGCGTGCGTGCGAGTATGTCAGCGAGTTCAAAACGTGAAAATGTACAGTACAAAACAGCCTCAAGTGGTCGAGTGCTATCTCGTGTTGACCGGGGCTCTCCGACTGTCAAGTTTTGGACGGCATATCGTATCGCCAAGTAGCTCGATTTCAATCACGTGGGGCGTCCCACGGACAAGAGCTGCCATGCATGACTGGCGTCTCACGGGGTGCCTGAGACTTCACTACACTTGTTCTGGGAGTGCCCGAAGGTGCGTGCGTGCTGAGACAAGTTTCTTAGACCCTAAACAGGCGCTTTTGCTATCCCTCATGACTTTTCAAGATGCTTGGGCAACTGTGCTAACCGTTAGGCTCCGGAAATTCCGGCGCTTCAGCGGTCTCGATTGTTGGAGAGATTTCAAGATGATGTCACGGCGGGCGAACAGGCGTGGCAACGGATATGGTTCCTGATGGGCTCTATCTGTATAACGCACCTATGGTGAGAGCGAAACGATGTTGTTTTTCGATGCGCGCAGTCTACGACGTCTGCCGGCAGTGCGCTTCTGGACTACGAGTGTACGTCGGTTATCCACCTTAGCTATACGAGAACATGAGAGGCGCAGACACAGTGCTTCAAGGGGCTCAGTGACTCGCCTGTCTTGAACTTTTACCCTAGAGTGGATTGACGAACCACTACCCCTAGCAAGAAGCCACGAATTCCCGCCGCATCCGGTGCTGTATTCCTGGCTTAGACGATTCTAGACTTCAAGCGCATGATCATTATGGGTACTAGACAGTCATGAATCTCTTTATCTCCTGTCGGCCGCCCGGCCATAGATAGTAGAAGTAGCTGGTTGACGCAAGTGTGACGCCCCCATTCGCTGCTTTTGATACGGATGGTTGCATGGCATCATTTTTCGTTTACCGATATGACCCGTGACACGGCGAAGTTTATAATTGAGACCAAAACATTTGCCAGGATTGCTTTACCAGCAGGAAAAGCACCATCATGGTGTTGCCTTGAGTCTCGATTTCGAGAGAGGCAGTACGTATTTACCTTCCAGCTCTCCAACCTCATTGGCATTAACACCCGCATTATCCCGTTAGCCCATACACAAACGCCGACACATACACTGTAAAGCTGTCTGGATTCGATCGAATCTTTTCACGGGATGGTGCCGATGCGGCAAGATATTTAGTCAGCACATGATTTTTTCTGTTCGAGGGCGAGATCAGCAACTACATTCGCATATTTCTGTGCGTTGATGGACGCGGCATTCGACACAACGTGTTTGCAGCAATTTCTAGTCATGCGTCAACTGCACACTGCGAACTGCTGGCAAGTTAACGTCAACGCCAATTGTTGAATGGGACGATCTTGTTCTATTGTAGTAAAAAAAAAACGAGTAAGAAATCAAAATCGTACTAAAAACCAGTGCCCCTTATTCCATGCACTGCGACGGCAAAAGTGGCACTGAAGTGACTTGCTACCTGCTGCGTATATCGGCTTTAGCAACGGAACAGCCCAGCACGACTTGCCAGTCACAACTTCACCCTTCTCCTCTTGTCCCAATGGTGCCTAATATTGCCAATGTGGATATCGCGTCTACAGTCCCTCCTCCTTCTAGTTTATGACGTCCACAAGAAAGTCGAACACGTCCGTGTTCCGAATGGCTGTCTGAATGTCCTCCTTCTGCAGCGTCCGCCGCTTGTTCTTCTCCGAATAGCCCCACGAGCGCAGCGTGAGCTCCAAGATGAACATCTCGCAGGCCTTGGCAAAGAGCACGGGTGCTTCGGCACTGATCATGCGAACGTCTTCGTCCGACTTCATGATGCGCTTGATGCGCGCTAAGGGTAGATCATTATGATTCTTGAAATCTGAGTCAAATGGTGCAATCAAAAACAGACACAGAAAACAAGTCAGTCATGTCTTTTTAGTCTCCAGAGTCACGTTTGTTCTTTTTTGGTCCACTTCATCGCACCTTGTTCACTACCAACTTCGAGCTGCTCCATCTCCAGGAGCTGCTTAGCCCAGAAAGACTTGAGCTGCTGCTCCATCTGCAGCTGATGCTGTGCCTGCTCCGCCTCCGTGAGCTCGACCACTTGACCTTCCATTGACCCTCACTTTGAGACGAAGAGAAGTCGTTGTCACCTCGAAGTAAAGACGCTCGCCCCTCTTTTCTTAGTTTTTCCAAAATGATGCAGCGTGCCGAAATAGTGTGGTAGACACTATCGCACTGATGCCTTGCAACGAAATGGCTACATGTACTGTAGTCAGCCTGCATACTATGTCGGAAATGTTCATGGCAACAGCGGGGATTTGGCCGGTTTACAGTCAACTAGGTATTGTAGGCAGCCTTGGGCTCACAAAAAAGGGTCCTACCGTGGTCGATATCAAAATGGGTAGATTGGGCTATTCCGCAAAGACGACGGTCAAATTTATATAAACGCGAAGTACCCGAATTGTTGAATCGATAAAAGGACGAAAAACGGTCGCAACAACGGGGACTCCGTAGAAGAGGTCCAGACCATTAGCGATGTACCTAATCTAGCAAACACTACCGAATATGGCGTACAGAATCTGACAGCTGAACGTCTGTAGCAGATTTGAAGAGGGTTTCCACGATGGAGGGTAGTCAAATCTTGTGTCGGTACATCTGATGCATTTAGTCCCTTCCAGAATCGATGAAACCGTCTGCCAATCGGACGTTCAATTTGGAGATTCTTGGTGGGTTTGTCGCCTCCTACACGTCAGGCGTGGCATCTGATGTTGATGATGTAGTGATTATAGAATGATCCTTGCGCTCGTGGTTGTTGACCATTTATTACAGAAAACAATGAGGCAGCAGAGGGGTTATGACGGGGTTACACAAATGGATGTCATAAACGGGTGCGCTTGTGTGATACACACACAAAAATCAGTGAAACTGATAGGCGCATTATTGTATCACATACACTCGCGGTGATACCGTACGTTATCGATTAGAAGCAGATGATATGGATCAGATGTAATCGATTATAATGGGGTCTTCAAAGGACGACGTAGTTCTAGTGTGGTGACAATAGAAGAACCTCTATGAGTATCCCTTGATTAGGTACCATAGTTTCTAGGTCAAATTCGTAATTGAGGTTAACAATCGCTTTGAATTAGAAAATATTCAGTCACCCTTTTGATCAGTTTTGGACACGTGCCTTGTTTAGACATGTAGGAGTCAGAAGCCTGTATTAAGACTAGTACTCTTGCTGTACGGGATTTCACGGCGTCTATTTGAACCGGTGATGTTATGTGTCCACACCAGGTAAAGACCGGTGGATCTGAGTGGTACAGTCTTGGTACCATGTACTTACGTTGATACCGCACCTTATCGGAAAGATTTAAGGAATTCGACTTCTATCATGGGATCGCAATATAGAAGTCAGTCAGAAAAATGTTTTAAGTTTTTTTTTACCGTAGTTAACGAATAATAAAGTTCAGTTTCTCTTTTAAACCGTTGGACACAAGTGCCTATTCAAGGTATAGTGTGTTATTTAGAGCTTTAGACATGTTGAGGCGTTTACTCTTGTTTAACTAGTAGTCTCTAGTTAGTGTGTGATTCTGTGAATCGTGATCCCTTTGGAACTGGGACTGTTAACCTTGTGTGCTTGAACGACAAACGTCATGGTTCGTTAGTTATAATTTAGAGACTTTTTGAATCTAATTAAGAAAAAAATAAAAGTAATTTCACAGAGTTTCATATATACTTTACTACTAAAAGGTGAAGAACTTCAAGCTTTTAAAGAGTTTTTAATTGTAAATGAGGGTTTAGTCAAATATTCTTTTTAACCTTCCATCAAATATTGCAATTTGTAATTTCTCGTCAAAACTATTGAATTTCAATCTTGTGATTATAATTTCCAGGTGAAGTGCTAAACGCGTAAGCTATGTCTAAACCAATTCTAGATATTAGCAATCATTGTCTTCGGCATTAACTACCGGGATGTCTGATCCCGTTCGCCACCCGAGCATGCGTTTCTCAGTGTCAGTATAAACCCATATTTTCTAAATTTGAAGCAATTTCGAATATGCGAAAAAGTTCAGAATATTTCACAATAAACATAAAATTTATCAAATCGTTTAAAAAAATATATATATATATATATTACACTTTATCTCAGCGTCTAGAGAATAATATTGTATAAGCATTTAACTGACAGTTCGAATGTAGACATATTTAATTTTTTAAATTTTTTTGGAAGACTAGATGTTATGGGAACAATTAACGTAATAAATCATAACAAAAAGGTAAAATGTCTTGTATTTTACGAAATGTTACATGCTTTTGTTTAATCACATTTTTTTTGGCGGTCGATCAAAAAAACAAAATGCTCAAACTTTTAGAATATTGAAGAAATCTACAACTAGATCAATATTCGGAATGACTCAAATTTTATTCTTGTGGATATTTATACGGCACGGAGTTTTACAGTAGTTTACTGTGCATTTTAAACATTAAAATACATGCTAATGTGAAACATTAGTACTCCTTTTATTTATCGAATTTAA